ACCTTCTGATTAGGGGACGACCCGCTCTGCCTCTGCGCCACAGCCAACAGAGGGACCACTGATCCTGTTACAGTCAGTGGAACATCAACAGGATTCTGGTATTATAAAATCACATAATGTTGATTTAACATTTTATAATATGTGGATCACTTGAGGGTCTGCAGTGGTTCTCTGTTCATGTATCTGAGGTTAAATCCTACCTTCAATGAATGAATGGATGAGTTTTAATTTCTCAGTCAGAGCAATGAACACTGCAACATGTCAGAGACACTAGAAACACACCAAGAAGATGAAGATAGGTTAACACACAGGTACAGATACAGATAGACAGTGCCAGACAGACAGGTATAGAGCCAGACAGTGGGTGGATAAAGTAGTCTGGTTGCTGGATTAATGTTTTAAACAGACAGTTTGTATCTGGATGACTGACTGTCTCTAATGAAAGCTTTTAATGACTGTGTGTGTGTGTGTGTGTTCAGCAGATTATTATAACTATGGTTTGGTTTAAAGGTTTGTTAAAGTCAAACAGCAGAAACACTGTGTCACATAGAAGCAGACCTGATGTATGTTGATGTATGGTATATTGTTGATTATGTTTGAAAATAATTTACATATTATACATATATACATATATTTCACTGTTTTAATAATTTATGGTTAAATAGAGTGTAGGAAGTAACTGGAGACTGCAGGACTGAAGTGACTGAGCATCTCCAAACTAACTGACACAGTGTCAGATAACAATGTGTACATCAACCTTAGAAGACAGCAGAGCTGAGGAATCAATGACGGATCACTAACGTTTCTAGGCGTCTATGACCTGACGTCATTGAAAGCTATAAGTTTAGTTTTATGTTGTTTATTCCGCTGAACTGATGCTAACAGTTTTCTGCCTCACGTTGGAGGATTCTGGACTAATGTAATGATGATGTTGAGGGACAGTAAAGACAAAATCATTTAAAACTATTAAATAACCACAGTAGCAGGTTAGATGTTAGTGACTGTTTTTAATGTTGTGTTAGCTTTGTTGTTGAAGAGAAGCTCAGTCTGCTCCACGCTCTTTGCTGCTGTCTGTAAATTGATGGATATGTCCTAAAAGTCACAATATGACTTTGTGTAAAAAAGAAACTGCAGGAATTTGTTTTCTTGGCAGTGATTGGTAAGTTTGATTAGCATCTAGGAGGAGGAGAGCATTGTGTGGGATTTAGTAAAACTAGAAATAACATGCAGATTTATTTTTTCCTGTCGATCAATCGGTTGGTTGAATTGATTGCAGTTCAGCAATCCATTGATGAACTCCTCAGCCTAATTCACACCGCCATTGTCTCCTGAGGACTCAAACCAGCGTCAAAGGCTTGTTTGAGTCCTGTAGTCATGATCTGTTTGGTTCTCAGTATCTACACAGCTGTCGACTACCTGAAGATGAAGGAGGACCTTCAGGGGGTTCAGCTGCTGACAATTGAGTCTAGTTCACGTTGTCCAACCTGGTCTGAAGACTTTGAGTGTGGAGGCCCTGACTGATCCACATTGGGCTCACATCAAACAATCAATATCTGATCAGTATCTGTGTAGAATTTTCCTGCATTCTGGGAGTGTGAAGGCGAGAGACAAACTCAACAAGCAAGTTAGGAAGGCCAGTTCAGTGATTGGAGGATTGTTCTGAAGACCTGAACCCTTGAGATCTTCCACTGAGTGGCAGGAGATCATTCCTGTCTGCCGAACCATCCTCACTCTGTTGCTCTGTTGAGGTTGTACTGGACTCACTTTGATATTTGATATTGGATATTGATTTGTAATATTTCATATTAGATATAGATTTTATATCAGTTGAATCGTTTGTGTTCTGCTACTGTGACATGAGAGTTTCCCCCCCAGGGATAAATAAAGTACCTGCCTACCTTGTAGGAGCTAATGAATCTTCTTCCTCTAACCTCCACACAGCTGACCAATCAGTGAGTGAGGAGTGTTTGATGTCAGATCGTTGTATGAGGAGGTCGTTGGAGGTTTCAGACTGTTTGAATCAGATTCAGGTTCTGGATCCTCTGAACTGAAACCTGATGTTCATGTTTGTGTCGCTCCACTGAAGCATCTCTCTGATGGTGTTGATGATGATGATGATGATGATGATGATGACAGTCATAACGAGGTCTGCTTTTAGGAGCTCGTTAATGTGGAGTCCTTCATTAATCTGCACACACACACACACACACACACACACACACAGACACACACACACAGTGTTAATGTGATTATTATTCAGTTTATTGAAGCTCTGACACACATTCAGCTTAGGCTGTTACACAACACTAATCCTCTGAGTGTGTATTTGTGTGTGTGTCCCAGTGTTTCCAGTTTGACTAGTGGTGTGCATGTGTTTAATTTGACCCTGGGCTCTGACTGAATGGTCAGGGCTGAAGGGGGTCTGTGTAGTCTTGTTTAGATGAATTCCGGCAGTTTGTTAAGGTTCCTATTAAAGCTGTCAATCAAACTGTGGGTTGGACTAAATACTTGAACAGGAGGGTCTCTGACCAACCACATGGTTAGGGTTTTATAGATTTATATGAATATATGATAGATGAATTAATTGATAAAAACTCGATTCACTCAGTGTCCAGTTAATTAATGTAGATATATATATTATATAGATATATGTAATAATATGATCAGGTTGTGTTCCACCCATTAATGTCAATGAGGGCAGAATAACACTCTGTATGGTGGTTAATTACTGTTCCTAATAAACTGAACACTGACTGTACATGCATATAAATATATATATAGGGTCATTGATCTGTTGTTCAGATTCCTCAGGTGAGCTACGCATCCACGGCTCCGGAGCTCAGCGATAACAACCGGTATGACTTCTTCTCTCGGGTGGTTCCTCCGGACTCATACCAGGCTCAGGCCATGCTGGACATCGTCAAGGCTCTGGGCTGGAACTACGTCTCTACACTGGCGTCCGAGGGGAACTACGGAGAGAGCGGAGTCGACGCCTTCATGCAGATCTCCAGGGAAGCTGGTACGTTAGGTTCCCACTTTAGTCTGTTTTATTCTTTTCAGCATTTGTAAATAAATTTAAAGTTTTTTCTTCTATCATATTATTTTCTCAGAATTCCTTTCTTGTCACAACCTTCTGAACCAGAATAAAAAAGGTTTTCATAGTTTGATAAAAAAAAATGTGTTAATTTTTAAATAATTTTAGTAATTGGGAAGTAATTAAAGATTATGTATATAGTTTGAGTGTAAAAAACATCCTCATGAAGAACATCCCTTTTTTGCTGCAGCCATTTAAAAATACAAAAAGTTGGCCATGCACCCCTGTGTGACATCACTATAAAGCCCAGGATTTCCTCTTTACAGGACATCAGGGGTGCGTCTCATGTCACTTAATTGCGCATTATAAAAATGATGTTAACATTGTGATTAATAGCAGTTGGATTGAGGCTGAATTAAGGTAACGTTTCTCCCCATAAAGAAAGACACTGTGCATGTACTCACGAGACAGCAGCTTCATTGATTTTTAAATCTCCAACACACCGACAGGATCTAATATTATGTTTTTTGTTGTGTTTCTTTTACTTTACACCTCCAGAAGTTCCCCACACATTCTAGCCATTCTCCTGATGAATCCTCTAAGAGTTTCTGTCAACTTTAAAACAATTTTTAAGTTTTGCTACTTAATAATATTTGCTGCAGTGACAGTACCGCGTACTCCGTAGCTTCCTCTCTCATTATTATAGTACATTAAGAAAACACTCATCATTAATACAACACAGAGTATATAAAGAAATCATCTGTAACATGCTGTTCAACAGACACAGGAATGTATTATATTATATTATTTGCTCATTATGTGCCACTGTATTTGTCTATATTGTGATTGTAAACATATTATTGAAAAATACAGAATATGATTGTGGTGTACTTTGAACAATGGAAAATATTTATTAGGCTCAATATTTTAGGGAAAATTGAAATGGTGTAACTGATATCAAACCTGACTGAGGAATTATCAGGAAATGACAATAAATGATATAAAACGATTTCTTGCTGACAGAAAGACTCTACTGTCTCTTATTGTTATATAATCATATTAAACGGCTCAACTGCAGCGTCAAATAAATAATTGATATCCAATAAAGGGGTGCATCGGTTGGTAAAAGACTTCTGTGAAGGCTGCTCTTGTGTATCCTCGCTCCTCGCTCCTCAGAGATCACTCCTTAATCCTTGGTGCAGAAATAAGTGCTTTGGGACAGCCTGCAAAATGGCGGACCAGAACAACTTCCGGTTCAAGCATGGAACGAGGAAATGTCAAATAAGAGACTTGGCATGTACCCCAGGACTGAATGACACGGCATGCATGGTGTTATGTTTCCCATAGAGGATATTAATGTTTGTTTTTAGACCAGAACCAGATTATTGTATACCAGCAAAGGAAAATCTGTCTGATGGAGCTATATCAGCGAGTTGTTTTGGTGGTTTGAGCAACAGGAACATTTTTGAGTTTCTGATTGGATGAAGGTCTGCAGGTATGATTAAACCAATGCTGAACCTTCTGCTTTGTTTATCGAAAAATGAACTGAACTTTCATTTTATAATTTAAATCATTTGAAGGAACAGCTGCAGCTGAAAAGTTGATCGCCCGTTAAATAGTAAATGGACTGTACTTATATAGCGCCTTACTAGTCTTCCGACTACTCAAAGCACTTTTACACTACATCCCACACTCACCATTCACGCACATTCATACACTGATGAGAGTGGCTGCTATGCAAGGTGCCAACTGCTCATCAGAAACTAAGAGCATTTACAGACATTCATCCACCGATGCACAGCATATATATATATATATATACTGTTATATATAATTTATTTCATATATAATTTATCACTAATATTAAACATGTGCGTCCAAATGTGGCACAAACAGAAAAAGGTCATTAATGGAGAAGACTTTGTGTCTTTAGGTGCCTGTCTCTCTCTTTGTCTCACAGTCAACCTGTCTTTGTACCTGTCTGTCAGGTGGGGTGTGCATCGCTCAGTCAGTGAAGATTCCTCGCGAGCCGACAGCTGGAGAGTTTGACAAGATCATCAAACGTCTGATGGAGACAAGTAATGCCAGAGGAGTGATCATCTTTGCCAACGAGGACGACATCAAGTAAAATCACAAACGACAACAAAACAACGAACTGACCTCAGATCAGCATTCATCATCACATTCAGTCCAAACCAGCAACCTCTCTGAATCCTCCCCTTTCTTCCTGGTAGGCGTGTCCTTGAGGCGGCAAAGCGTGCTAATCTGACGGGTCACTTCTTGTTTGTGGGGTCCGACAGCTGGGGAGCAAAGAGTTCACCAATCGCAGAGCTGGAGGATGTCGCTGAGGGCGCCGTCACCATCCTACCTAAACGGGCTTCAATAGACGGTGAAAATAAAAATCATAAAAACATGTCGGACTGCGAGAGTCTAAACCTCTGTTTATGTTTGTGTTTATTTGTGTGTGTGTTGTACAGGCTTTGATCAGTACTTCATGTCTCGTTCTCTGGAGAACAACCGCAGGAACATCTGGTTCAATGAGTTCTGGGAGGACGACTTCAGGTGTAAACTGACCCGACCTGGAATCAAACTGGACCCTGACAAGAAGAAATGTACAGGTATGCCCACATCTTAGTGGACGGGGCCCAGGGGGTGGTGGGCCGTATCATGAGACGCTGTGTGTATCACTGCAGGTGAAGAACGGATTGGACGGGACTCGTCCTATGAGCAGGAAGGGAAGGTCCAGTTTGTGATCGATGCAGTTTATGCTGTGGCTTACGCTCTGCACAGCATGCACCAGGATCTGTGTCCCAGCAGCTCCGGAGTCTGTGGCAAGATGGACCCTGTGGAGGGACGCTCGCTGCTCGGCTACATCAGAGCTGTCAACTTCAATGGTAAGAAAACACCAAAAATATAAATCCACATCAGAGACGTCAACTTCTTCCCCGGAGTTCTTGTGCTTTCTTGTCTCGCAGGTTCTTATGGATCCTGGT